TGGCGTTTGAATGCGATGTGGCCTATACAATGACTTGCGGGGGCCAGCCGATGTACAAGTCAGTGTTTTTATCCTCCCAGACAAGTCTGGTACCAATTATTCGATTCGTGCGGTCGTCTGGGGCGGTCGTGTGTATCTTGCTCTGCTGGCTGGTATCTACTTGATACGCTGCGGTTTAGATAAGTTCAAGTTTTTTTTCGGTAATTGATTTGTGATCAAAAGTTCAACTGCTATCATGTCATCATATCGATTGCGCTCGCAACCGAAGAGCAATGTTAAGGTGACATCGAATGTGAACAATAGTGTTTTGGAAAGCTGCCCTGCGGACTCAGAGATTGCAAATATGTCGATGAGCGAACTTGTGTGTGCAATGATGGATCGAAATGAACAGATAAAGGATCCTGTCATGGCAAAGTTTTTGAACGCTCTCGTCTCTAAGTTGCCGCAGACCATTGCTGATGCTGTGGAGGCGGATAAAAGGGGTCGTAGTTTGGTTGTCTCCGGAATCCCAGAGTCAAACCCCAATGTTCCGCCTTCTGGCAAGCAAAGGGAGCTAGAGGCTAAGGTGACTGAGGTACTTGACATTTTAGGAGTCGAGTGTAGACCGGTCGAAGTTTACCGTATGGGTAAGCCTGATGGCGTTCGTCCGAGACTGGTCAAGTTGGTGCTGCCGTCTAAACATCACTGGATCACAGCGCTCTCCAACAGTCGCCGCCTACGCACTTCTAGCTTATCAACAGTCTTCGTGCGCAAGAGCCTAACGCCTGCTGAGCGCACTTTAGAAAAACAACTTCGGCTAGAGTGTAAGCAGCGAAATGACCAGCTGAATAGCCGTGTCTGGGTGGTCTACCGCGGCGAGCTGAGGCGTGCCGACGAGCTACCCAGATCTCGGAGTTCGGGAAACGCCCAGCCCGTCGCGGAACACCATCCGGAATGAAATGTTACTTATTCAATTCTAGAAGTCTCCGCAACAAACTTCATCACCTCCATTACTTTCTAGATACTCACAACCCAGACCTCATTTTTGTCACGGAAACCTGGTTGTCAGACAAGATATCAGATTCTGAAATCATTTGCGGTCGTCCTTATACTGTTCATCGCCTTGACCGAGTTGGGTTCAGAGGTGGTGGAGTCTGTTGCTTAGCGAAGAATGTAATTAGTTTTACTACCACTGCTACTCCCTGTTTGAAGTCAGAACTCCTTTGTCTCCAAGGGCTCGATAATCTTTCTTCTAGACGGTTTACAGTTATATTGATATATCGCCCTCCCAACTCAACGTTTGATGACGACGAAAGCCTTTTTGAGTCTTTGCTTGACCTTTGTTTTTTGAACGAGCATCTAATCGTTCTAGGTGATTTCAACCTTAATATAGATTGGTTTACAGGAAAGGCTAATAATCCTGCATCGTCAAAATTCCTAGAATTTTTTGAGTTTTGTTCTTTAGTTCAGCATGTCACACAGCCTACGCGTGGAAGCTCTATTCTGGATATAGTGCTTACCAATGCTCCAATCGTCAAGAATGTTTGTGTTTGCTCGCCTTTTGCTGATTCTGATCATAGCGTAGTCGCTTTCGAAATTACCATAGAGCTGCCAGTGCCCAGTCAGCTTCCCTTACCGAACTTTATCAAGGCTGATTTTGCTTCGCTTTCTAACTACTTTTCTCTAATCGATTGGGAACGTGCATTTGAGGGATATAGATCAGTTGATGACCTCTATAAAAGGTTTTGCTGCATTCTTTATTCGGGTTTCGCTAAGTTTGTGCCTTTTGAGACTAAGAAGGACCGTAAAGTACGGTATCCTGAACATATCAATAATTTGATGGCACAAAAGGCAAGGCTTTTCTCTAAATTACGAGACTTTCCTCTTAATATCTGTCGTTATAAGCATATCTGTAAGGAACTAGATTATCATTTGAGAAGATTTTTGGCTAACAAAGAAAAACGAGTCGCTTCTAGTCCTGATAAAAGGATGTTATTCACCCTCCTCAAAAAGAGGATAAAGTCGCCAACTTTTGTACCAATGCTACGGGATGCTTCTGGAAATGAAATTCTCAGCGATCATGAAAAAGCTGAAGCTCTTGCACGTTTCTTTTCGTCTGTGTATATCGTATCGACAGACAATTGGGAAACACCTTTGGAGTACGATTCCCAACCAGATTCTTCGACTGTGGTATCCCCCGAAGAGGTACTTCTGATTATGAAGTCACTTAAGAACTCTTGTTCTATACCATTTGATGGGATCCCGCAGATTGTCTATAAGATGTGTGCCCACTCTCTTTATAAGCCCATATGTATGATTCTCAACGCTTCCTTGATGTTTTGTGAAATTCCTTCTATATGGAAAGAGTCAATAATAACAGCAATTCCAAAAGTTCCGAATGCAAATGTGGTGTCATCATTTCGCCCTATTAGTATCACTACCCCTACGATCAAGGTATTAGAAAAAATCATACGTTACAAACTTGAGCTTCACTTGACTAGGAATAACCTCATACCCGGTGAGCAACATGGGTTTCTTATGGGTGCTTCCACGTGCACGCTGATGGCTGATTGTACATTCGAATGGAGTTTGGCCATTAACAAAGGCCAAGGTATAGACGTAATTTATTTTGATTTATCAAAGGCATTCGATAAAGTTAGTCATGATAAACTTCTTTTCAAGCTCCGAGAGTTGGGTGTCTCTGGATCACTTTTTGAGTGGATTCGTTCTTATCTAAGCCTTAGACACATGTGTGTTAAAGTAGGAAATTCTTTTTCGAGGCGATTTCCATGCACCAGTGGCGTGCCGCAAGGTGGTGTTCTATCACCCCTACTATTCCTGGCTTATACTTACGACTTACCTAATCTTTTGACTACACACCCTTCTGTGAAGGTTCGCATGTATGCGGATGATATAAAGATATACGGGGTTTATAATGAGAACACCCATGGTTGTATTCATCAAGCTTTAACCCTGTCCATCAATAACATGATGGAGTGGGCTAACGCCTGGGAAATACCTGTGAACCTGTCAAAAACATCTGTTTTTCATATTGGTAAAGCCGTCAAGGTACCCTACACATACAATGATGTAGTATTACAAACTTCTGAAGAAATTCGTGACCTCGGCTTTCACATGAGCTCGGGACTGAATTTTGATCGTCACATTAGCTTGATAGTACAAAAGGCTTTTAGTGTTCTTTTTGCCATTTTCCGGAACATCCAGTACAACGATGCTTCCATTTTGCTGAAACTTTACAAGGCTTATGTAGTCCCAATTTTAGAATACGGGTCACAAATTTGGAGCCCCTACACAAAAAAGCTTCAAGTGAAAGTAGAGAAGGTCCAGCAAACCTTCACTAGGATTCTGATGTACCGATGCTATCCAAATCCAGATTACCCCGATAGCATGCCTGGTTATAGAGAGCGTCTGCAACGATTCAAACTCAAAACGCTTCTCTATCGACGCATTTTCAACGATATTGTGTTCTGTTTCAAGCTTTTGAAGGGTGAATTGAAATTGAAGCCTAGTAGCTACTGGATTTTTAAGCCTTGTCGAGGGCGCACTTACAGGCTCTCTCTGCAGTGTCCTAAATTGATGAGAAGGCAACACTGTAAAGTGTCTAACTCTCTACTTTTTCGTGGGGCAAAATGGCTTCAAATGTTACCAGCTGAAATTCTCGCTGCGCAAAACAGTAGCGTTTTCAGAAGAAGGTTGAATAAAATCGATTTGCTCTCTCGTCTTGGAATTCAAGACTTTTGAGAATTCTTTTGCATAACATGGAAACTGAACATTTCTATATTTTTTCCCTGCGTTTATTTTTAGGCCAATCTTATTTTGCAGTCGTCATCATTTCTGGTCGAGTCATGGAGAAAAAGGGACTGCTGCTTGACTTCCAATTCTTTCTTTCTTCTGTGACATTAATCCTTATTTATTAGTTCTGTTGGAATTCTGAGTATTTGTGACAAAATTTGCTCTTTATGTAAAAGATCTCCAGCTATGAGGTTCAGGATTAGTAATTGTTCTGCACTATGACTCAATCCACAACAGGATGCTTTTCTAAGGCTGTCATGATCGTAGCGGGTCGGAGGCTGAATTGTTAGGGTTAGGGAATACCTAACATCCGAAAACGGTAATGAAATATAATAATGAGACTTTTAAAGGGTTGTGTTACACACTAGTCGTTGATCCAACTGATTAAAATCTACCGACTCCATTCAAAGCTTATTAGCCATTCTCAAAATGAGCCCAAGTTATGTCATCGCATGGTTAGCTATCCTCACAAGCGCCCCCGAGCCAGCTCCTAGGGTTCGTATTTAGATCAAAGAGGTGTTTCTGCACCCGCCCTTGTAGGGCTGCGGCCTCGTAGTAGGGTTATCTTTGAGGCACTAACCTTATGGCTCATGGCAATGCTATTCGTTTACTTCCGAGCTACTTGCCTTTGTATATAAATGTACCTGATCAACCTAGTGTGTAACCCAGAGTTCAAACAATACTCAAGGAACTTTTTTGAACATGCCTCTCTCTCTCGTTTTGTCTATCATGAGTTGCTTAAGTCAGTCGTTAATTAATTTATACAATCAGACAGCCCTTTGTTCTCTTCCAATTTCTGTATAGTGAGCAGCGACTTGGGTTCACTTTTTTTTCTTTCCTCAACACATACTGGAGATCTTCCTATCTTTTGTTTTGATTATAATTTACTTACGTCATACAGCGTTTTGTTGAATTATTTTGATCTAGCAGTTGTTTGTAGCGCACCTAAGCGTGCACCAAATAAATAAATAATAAATAAATAAAATGTCAAACTATACGGCGCAGCAAGTGACAGCCGTTTTCAGAACGCGGTTCGGAGAAACTCTCGCCATTAACTTGAGCACCAAACCTGTGCTCACGAACGCATTTCCTGCCGCTACACTTACGGATTTGGATGTCAATTCCTCAAACAAAATGTTATCTTCGCTCAAATACGCCACGAATGGTAGTGCGTAACTGCGGTTTTATCGAGTCGAGTTACGAATTACGACAATTGTCTCTGATGCCTCAACGAAATTACCATCCGGTCTTTTAGCTCAGGATACTGTTTTCGGGCCTGCTTTGTTCGGAAAGTCAGACATTCCCCACTTGAACGCTTGCTCCCAACAAGTGGTTCTAGCATGTCCCGAAGCAATATCAGATATCAAACAAGAACTAAGAATGTACGAGCTTGACGGAATGGGATATTTAACCGACGAATACAAACAGATGACACAACTCATGAGTACCTAAATGAGTACTCCAAACGCATCCGCATAGAAGACGGGGTGATAACCGCTCCTTTTCCGCTGAAGGATAATGTAGTGGACCTGGAGAACAATTACAATGTGGCTCTTTCGAGACTGACCTCAATGTACAGGTTTCATATTCTACATCACGATCAAAAAGAGTGGTATTCAAAAATATTAGAAGAGTATAAAAAGCACGACATCATTGAGGAAGTTCCGATTTCGGAGCGCTACTGCCCCGACAAGACCACTTATTACATGCCCCATTCAGGAGTGTGGAAGAGTGAAAAACCCACTCCCTTGAGAATTGTCTTCGATGCTTCTTCAAAAGGCGTTGGTAAGCTTTCTCTTAATGACGTCATGCATACCGGCGGAAGTTTCGTGAACAAAATCCAAGACATTTCTCACGAATAGCCGATGGTGCAATATTCTGATTACAGCTGACATCAAGCAGCATTCACCCAGATCAGAATCGCTGCAGAACACCGCGATTTGCTAAGATTCCTGTGGCTAAAAGACCCAGATCAAGCTCCTTCACCAACTAACGTGATCCACTACAGATTCAAGCGACTACCGTTTGGTACAAAAGCTTCACCCAGCATTCTGAACATGTCGCTGGCAGCTTTTCTTACCACAACGGGAACAGTCCTGTCCAAAGAGATTCTAGATAACATCTACGTCGATAACGTCTTCCTAGCAGCAAATACCGAAGAAGACGCACTGGAGAAAATTGAAAACTCCAGAAAGCTCTTCCGCAATATTGGAATGAACTTGAGAGACTTCACCAGCAACTCAGAATATGTTAATAAACATATTCCTGATGTGGTCAAAGGTAAGACTGGCAACACAAAATTGCTTGGGGTAGCTTACAACACTGAAAGCGATGAGCTCCTCCTTGATGTAAGGCTATCTCAAAAGCAACAGATGACCAAAAGAGAACTTGTGAGTGCAGTCCACAAAATATACGATCCTCTCGGCCTGGCACTACCCTTGACCCTCAAAGCAAAACTGCTGATGAGAGAGGTAGTTATGCTGAAAATAGCTTGTAGTTTGGGGAAAACCTCTTAGCACGGAATACATCAACAGGTGGAATGAAATTTGCACGGAAATTTCCGGTACTTCTATCAGAGTGCCGCGCAATATCGGCCTGACACTTCATGACGGAAAAGGTTCAACACTATGGGTATTCGGTGATGCAAGTCAGCTGGCAATATCCTGCTGCAGCTACGTTACTCACCCACCCAGCAATCAAACAAAGGGCTTATTGTGCGCAAAAACACGGCTCGCTCCAAAAGAAAGACTCCGCAGGTAACTTTGCATTTTGACATCACTCGATTTGGCAAAACTACTACGATCACCAAAGGTCGCATACAGTATTATTGATATGAAGCAATAGCATTAGCCTGGACACAAACCTCAAGAAGGCTTCCTCTTTTCGTAGCTAATCAGGTGGACAGAATCAAAAAGCTTCACCATTCTATCCAAGAACTCGGAATATCATTACAATTGAGCTACATTGAGTCCGAAAATAATCCCGCTGATATCGCGACTCGGCCTGTAGCTAAAGGACAGTTCAAGGCTAGCGAATGGCTCTCAGGTCCTCAATGGTTTAAATTACAACCAAGTGATTGGCCAATTGACTCATCATGGGAGCCGAATTCGAGCGACCAAATCAGCGCTGCGACAACATGCGCACCCACGGTCAAAGCACCACCACACCGAACTCACGCCATTATACCTTCGCGCTTCGAGTTATCACGACTTGTACACATGGCGCGCGCAATAAGGCTTGTATGCGAGATTGCGAATCAACGGCCGAAACACAGAACCACCCGCCGCTCCGCTGTACAACGCTCCTCCAGACAATAATTAGTCCAGTGACCTGAGAGGCGGAACAATTGATTCTACATGAACAATAAGTGACATCGATATTAACGAACTCCGCTCAAGGTACAAAGACAAAAACCTGTTCCTAGACGAAAACGGGCTAATTAGAGCCAATTCACGGCTCACTAACGCAGCGTTACCGCGCGACACGAAAGAACCAATTTTCATCCCGAAAGAGTCTGATCTCATACGTCTCATTGTCAATGAACTACACGAGACCAACATGCACTGCGGTCGACAGCATACTCTGTCGCTCCTCAGAATGCGATTCTGGATCCCTAAGCCATCATCCAGAATTCGGAAAATCCTCAGTCAGTGCACAGTATGCAAAAGGGAACAAGGTTTGCCCTTCGCGTACCCAGAGATGGCCCGCTACCAAAAGACCGCGTGGTCAAATCAAAGCCTTTCCAACATGTAGGCTGCGACTACGTAGGTCCCTTCAACAGCGACATTAACGAGAAGATGTACATTGCTTTGTACACGTGTCTATTCGACAAGAGCAGTACATCTAGAACCCGTCGAAAGTCTTTCTGCTTCCGCATTCCTAGACAGTTTCCTTCGTTTCATTAGCCGAAGAGGCGTTCCAAGTATAATGCGATCCGATCGTATAACTTTGTTCTTGGTGTAAAGTATTAGATATCCTCTTCCAGAAGGATAACGAAGGACGTTCAGTCATGGCCTATTCGGCAACTAATAACATCAAGTGGATTTTCAATCCTCCCGCAGCACCGTGGATGGGAGGAGTTTGGGAAAGAATCGTGGGAACGGTCAAAAAGTGCCTCTCAAAGACCATAGGACGCAAGAAGCTGTCTTTCACAAAATTTGCAACAGTTTTGGCTTGCATTGAGGCGGTTGTGAACACACGGCCGCTGACAAAGGTGGATCCCGATGACTTGAAGTCCCTCCCTTTGCGTCCTATAGATTTCCTGCAAGGAAATATCAAGTTTGCGCTCCCTGAAAACAAGGATGTAGAAGAGCTAAATGATCCCTCCTACGAAGAAGCCACAATCGCTACAATGGAACAAGCCAAAGAAGCGATAGACTTTGCTGAGAAAATGGCGAACCACTTCTGGAATAGATGGCAAAACGAGTATTTAACAGAGCTACGAGACATTCATAAAGCGCTCATGAAGCAAGGAAGACATACTTCACGCAAGGTTCCCGAGGTAGGAGAAATAGTCCTCATACAACAAGACGGACTAGTCCCACGTAGCAACTGGCCACTCGGTCGCGTAACTGACCTAGTGCAGAGCACTGACGGATTAATTCGTTCGGCGAAAGTACTAACTCCTTCAGGAAACATCTGCCATCGCCCAATAACGAAGCTGATACCGCTCGAAATTCGTAGTGCGATTCGTGAATCCCAGCCTGCACGATCGCAACCGAACGACACCAGCAAACCTCAAATAGAACGAAGAGCCCCGCTTCCGAGAAAGGCTAAACAAAAAGTCAAATACTTTGACACTGGGCATGACCTAGAGGAGTCGTCATACACAAACCACTCAACGACCTGCTCTTTCTCCAGGATGATTCTTTATCCCATCCTTCTACTGTCATTTCTCCCCAGCTTATCTGCTGCAGGAATTTTTTGCGAAAACGGAACACTCACCGTATCCCCATCCTCGAAGTTCTACACTCTGTGCTTCAACAAAGCATGTAAGCACATAACTAGAAAGCAGACATCAACATTTGTGCTGCCACCGTCTGCACATGAGGAACTCATAAATGTCACCCTGATAAATCATATGCCAAGACGCAATATTAGAGAGAGTCTAGTATGTGCTCGGCAACCTTTCTGTGCCGACAAGACACTTTTCACCACATCACTTTTGGGAAACCCTCACTGTTGGCCGGAGGGCGCCATCATAACAGCAATATCAATTGTAACAGTGATATTACTAGCGATACTCCTCCTTGGTGTCCTCATCAAAAACAGCCGGCTAAGGCTCAGGCCAACGACAGGCCACTTTCACTCGATAAGACGAACGAACGAAGATACCGAAACTTCATTCACTCTCAGAAATCTAAAACCCTCAACTCTTGTTGCGGTCACGCTGATAATGCTGACAGTATGTGCTCTTCCAACTCTTCCTTGCCAACACTTTCATACGCACTACAGCAAGGAACTGGTATGCAACGAAACAAACATATGCACCCTCGAGTACGAACAAGAACTCTTCTTCAATAAGCTTCATAAAGAAGCTTGCGTCATGTTGCGCTACCGAAACCACACAGTAGGCAAACTCAAATTCACCTTCCAGAGAGCACGCCAGATTTGCAACAAACAGACGCTGTTCTATACAAGGGACACTTCAGCGAAAGTGTTCTACGAAAAACGCTGCCCCTTCATGGGTTCATGTCTCGGTAACAAGTGTAGAACCTTGCAGCAGGATGAAAGTATTCCGGAACTATATGACGCCGAAAAATTCCCTGGCTATTCCATGTGCAGTTCCACCTGCGCAGGTCTGGCTTGTGGTTGCCTAACACCATTTCCAGGCTGCCTATTCTATAGAGTTGCGCAAGTACCGAAGAGTGAGGCAATATACCACATATTCAAGTGCGCCTCGTGGAATCCTGAAATCCACATTTCGCTCGAAACAACCTTCACTGGAACCACAACGAGCAATCCCTTGCAGTTACACCCATACGTGTCAAAAATGATAGATGGATGGGACATCAAGGTAACATCACTGCAACATATCATACATGCCGCTCTAAGTAAGCGCTTCGCAGAATCCGCAGCGGGATTCAAAATGCTAGGCGATGCATTCAAAATCGCCGTCGAATGTCCAGATGAGAACACTGCTAGAAAACACTTCGCCAATTGTTCAAATGAGGTGGTTTGCTCGTGTAGTCACACAATGGCGGCCGCACAATGCGTCTGCCCTCAAAACAGTTTTCAGGAACCGCAGAACTCCACCACCAACTTGCCAGCCATAGAGCCTCACCTAAACATTACTGCTTCGGAAACAGTGATGATTGACACAGACGATACCGAGGTAACATTACTCGTTACGTCAAAAAACCAATTCCAAATGGCACAGGTGGTGGTAGATCCTCCCTGCTCCATGCATGCAACAAGCATAACAGGGTGCTACGACTGCTCGGAAGGAGCAAAAGCCACAGTGTACTGTCGCTCAGATTCATCCAGCGATATAACCCTGGAATGCACAGACCAAACATTCCTTATCGGCTGCTCGAAGCAGACAAAGCCAAATGTCCTAAAGCTTCAATACGATCATGCTGATGTAAAAGACATTTGTTCATTTCGATGTGGAGGGAAAACCTCCAAAATCGACTTATCTGGTACTCTTTTTTATCACACACCCACGTTAGATCACGAAATATTTGAAGGTGATACAAAAAGAACAGCCAGTAATGGAAATTGGTGGAATAATCTCGCAATTCCAGACATCAGTCCTCTTCTTGGCACGATAACTAAGCACTGGAAAATAACGGCTGCGGTTATCGGCGGTTTTACAGTAATCGGACTACTTGTATACTTCCTTGGACCTACAGTAATAATCGCCATAATCCGTATACTCACCGCCATCATCCTTGCACTCCTACGAACCTTCTTCGAGTGCGTCACCAATCTTCTCTCCCTCTTGCGTCGATATCGCAACGAATAACACATTCACTCAGCGGGCCTTGGCTCCGCGCCAGTGCTTGTCAAAATATATAAAAAAGAAGACAAAGCACGCCTCCGTTTCTCTCTCCCAAATGTTATTCCATAGTAACTGTTCCGATACCATGCCGAAACAGTCAGCTGCATCCTCCGAGTCGCCTCACAAAGACGCACCTGCGGACGCGCCCGGTCTAGCGTCAGCCTCCCATCCCTTAAATTGCTGAAGTATGACGTTCAAGAGACTAAAAACAGGTCTTGAGAATAAGATCGACACTATTTTCACCAATACTTCTCCTCGTCATCCATGTACAGGGTGGCCGAAAAGTATAGGACGCCATGTTTTTGTGTGTAAAAGCCAAGAAAGAGACTCGATCAGGAAACCGACTTCACACAAAGATAGAGTTAAGCTATTTGATCACTTGTGCAGAAGGTGCTTTGAATTTGACGACTCTGCTTTGAGAGAGGCCTTCTGACGTCCAACGACAAAATCAGCAGTGCGCCGCAGGTAGCCAACGGCGATGTCGTCCCACCTCTTCTGAAGCGCTAACTTCAGAGCACCCACCGAGCTGGAGAAGTCTTATGAGGTTCTCTACAACATCCTCACATAGAGGAGTCCATCGGGTTAAGGGCCTGAGAGGAAGAAGGTCACAATTCCTTGCTCCAGTGGCCCGGGAAGTGAGCGCCCAGGATGGCTTTGGTCGATTTGAACGCGTATTAGGGAGCCCAGCTTCATTGAAGAGCAAACGATCATTGAGCAAAATGCTCGTAAATCCAGAACAACATACCGTACCTCATTAAGGTCTTTTGCAAGACCTTCGAGTTAATTTTAACATTTGTGGAAGATGAACTCCAATGGAGCTGCACTTTTGGATGTTACCCCGTCACAAACTACCACACCTTCGGAGAAAGTCTGTTGTAAACTAGACGTTATCTCGGAGACTTGCTCTCACTTTTTGGCAACAACTGCCTCTGACTTTGGTGGTCGCAAAGAAGTTTAGTTCGAAAATTTTCTCATTAACCCAATCCGTAAGAGAGATGCGGCGCACCTCGAGCTCGTGCAGAAACTTTTTGCATTTTATCAGTTGAATCTATTCGGGTTGCTCCAATAAAAACCAGCATAGAAAGAGTCGGTAACCTCTTCAAATAATGATGCTTCCCAAGATTTTCTGGAAGGAGTGACGGCAGATCCTGAGATCAAAAGCGATGTGACTCACGCTGGCTTCATCGTTGTGAGCCATCCTCTTCTAGGTGATTGCCCCAATCCTCTGAGTGTGCACAGTTCTTGAACTTCCACTTTTCGCAATCCCAGAGACGTGTGCTTGAACCTTGAGAGCACCGAACATGTTTCAAAGAGTTGAAGAGGGAATACCGAGTCGCTTTCCGAAGTTGCAATTTCAGAGACCGTCATTGGGCAGCCTCTTGGTAATGGGTCGATGCAAAAAAATCTTCATGGCGAGAGTTCAGATGAACTTTGGACCAAACAACTTATGGTGCTTCTTACATAGTTTCAAAGCTTTCGAAGAGTTTCGAAACACTCTGAAAATACTCCACGGCTCAGTGCCAGCAAGCGGTCAAAGCCGCGTCCTATACTTTTCGGCCACCCTGTATTTTCTGTGAAGGTGACAATGAAGACGGTCACCGCTCTTCTGCTTGCTCTGTATTCCCTGATCCAATTGCTAGATCGTTTCGTCTACGAGATCTCAATAGATGCATCTCGTGCCTTGCTCCCGCTCATGGCCAATGCTCGAACAAATGTCGTGGTTGCGGAGGAACTCATCATGCTATTCTCTGCACCGAGCGGTCAAAGCAAGGGCCGCCGCAGAAGCGACAAAGGCTCGAACACTAATTGGTTCTCCTTTATTTCAGGTTTACTTCCACAAAATTTCGCTGCTGACTGTTGTATTAATGGTAGTTTTGATTTTGAACTCTCCTTAAAATTGTAATCTACAATTTAACAGTACACTTTCCTGTACTAGTAAGCCTCCTTTATCATCATCCTTTGTTACATTCATTCCCCACATTCACCAAGCAATAATCCATTTTGTTGTATTCCGCACGATACTGTACTCGTGTATACTGTACTCATGAAATTGTATTCCTCATGCAGTGTTTATTGCAGAAATTTAATCGCCTACTTACTACATATTGTACTTTCACACGAATATTGTAAAACGCGAAATTACCGCTCACACCTCACTCATATAAACACTCTGTCCAGTGGACCGCTCTTGAAATCCTACTAGTCCTAATTCTTCGGCAAAGATCCCTCTACTACGTCGTATATTTACTCCACATTGCTTCCTCAGCACAGCCCGTGGCTTGCTGCTACTCCATAATTTACTACATCAACTAATAAGGGGATCCGAAGATGGACTATAACGTTTTTCAGCTGCGGCGCACTTGACACTCCAATACAATTACAAAAGTGAGCATTATTTCGCGCTTCTATGCCTTTGGTATTCATGTATTGCTTGCCTCAGTTATACACGACATATAATTCCTCCATATGTTACATTTTTTTCAAGTGTGCCCCGGGAATGTTGCGGTATGCACTTGCACCCGCAACGTCCTTCTTGTTTTGGTCACCGCCTGTCAGTGGGAGTGGCTTTCCCCTCGCTCGGACCGGCAGTTAAGGTTTTACCGACAGCTGGAGCGCCGTCCACGAGGGCTGACCCCGCTGACAAGTGAGCGACGGTTGGTCTGTACCCATTTATCCCTTTGTATCGTCTAGCGAAATAAATATATTAATAAATTGAGTTTGTTGGAAAGAAAATAGAAAGGGCCGCGAGAGCCACTCCGTCAGCTGCATATAACCAATAATCGCTCGCTCTGAAGAGTACGGCATTTTCTACAATAGTATGTAATCGGCTAAGCGGTTGTGTACAGTGCGTTTCAAAAGTATGTGCACACTCAACATCTTGTTTTTTGGGAATACCATTGCTTTCTGTAACCTGTGACCTTCACCATTCAATTTCTTGTGTGCGATAACCTTTTTATTACAGAAAAATTCTTTCTTTGTTTCAAAAGTATGTGCACACTTAACAAAAGACAAAAACATAGCTGAGATTAGAAATCAGTGGGGCCTCCAGAGTTTCTAATTAGCTCAAACATCCTGTCCGGCATAATCTGAACCACGTTTGGCATAGCTGTTTCGTCGCTGTCGGCCCAAATAGCCTCTACCGCCGCCTTCAGTTCATCGACGTTATTGTACTGCCGGTTGTCAGCGTAGATTCGACGAACGATGATCCCCCATAGGTTCTCGATAGGGTTCAAGTCAGGAGAACACGCCGGCCAATCCATCACTTGAACATCCATTTCGTTGTAGCCATTCTCTGGTCGATTGCGAAACATGGACCGACGCGTTGTCCTGTTGAAAAATGTGGGTTCTTCGCCGAGCCCCTCTTAAGAAAGGCAACAGGTGGTATCGGAGCACTGCTTGGTATTCCTTTACTATTCATACGCAATAATGGAACGGCAACTTCTGAATTTCCGCTGATTGCGAAACCGCCGCAGACCCATCAACGGGCCTCTTCCGAAATTCCTTCTCGAGAGCACGAGCGGCTCTCGGCGAAGGTCCCTCCAGTAATGACGAAATCCATCCGGCCCATCGAGATTTAACTTCTTTTCATCAGAAAAGATCACCTAAGAACAAAATGGGTACAACACGTTGTTTGTTCCAAAAATAGAAAAATTCTGAAATTTCTCGAAAAACCGTACCTTGTCCCATGATGTTGCCATGTTCCTACGAGCAAACTCCAGCCTTGTCAAGCTTGTGGCGAGTAGTGAGTCGAGGAGCCTTCTTCATCGTCTCTCGCGTGATATACTCATTGGAGCGGATAGAGCGCCAAACGGTCGTACGCGAGACTGATAATCCCGCTTGAGCTCGGATCTGACTCACTGACAAAGAAGTATTCGCCACAAGACGCCTTGAATCTAGCAATGCATGAAAAAGAACGGCCCAGTTGCCGTGCGATTTCTCGTCTGGAATGTCCAGCAGCATGTAGAGCCAGAATTTGAGCTCTTTCGTCGTTAGAAAGCAGTCTGCCGCGGATAGGCATCGCGGATGGGGGAAGCCGGGGCAAACAAATTGAGATCGACAGGGCCGGATCGACGGTTTGATGGAAAACTTTCGGCCGCCAAATATCTGATTTCCGCCGCCAGATGTTGGCACATACTTTTGAAACAAGGAAAATATTCCATCTGAAAAAAATTGAAGGTACAGCGATATTATCTCTGCCCAGTTTTCCTGTAGAGGTTGTCGACTACGAGGAATCGTGAGAATGGTTTCGTTACGATAGGTTCCTTAGTTACCTTTGAAATGAAAAATTTCGAGGTGTGCACATACTTTTGAAACGCACTGTATGTGTGTGTGTCTGACCGGAAATTCATAACTTCACCCCCTTTTGGACCCAGAGCGCTCAAACTTCTAGGATATATAGGGGGCCGGAGGTGAACACTGATGACGGGTGGCGGGAAGTGATAACTACTGATAGGAGCTGATAACGGACGTCGAAATGTTGATGTCACCAATTTCGTTACACCGTTCGCGTTGATGGTGGAGAGTTTGCACTCATGTATGATATGTGGGGTGAGGCGGGGACCAAGAAGTTGAGTGAACGAATGTGGTAGCAACTGATAAGAACTGATAAGGGGCGTCAAAGTGTGGATACCACCAGTTTCGTTGCGGCCCTTGCGGTTACATTGGAACCTTGGCTCTCACATGTGGTATAGGGGATGGGACGGGAACACGGATAGTGGGTGATCAAAAGTGATAACAAGCGATAACGGTTGATAAGGAAGTTAGGATTTTGAGTACTGCTAATTTCGTTGCAGCCTTCGTGGTGACAGTAAATATTAGCTCCTACACGTTGCTGGAGGGTGGGACGGGACACCGATTGCGAGCAGTATGAACTGATAGCAACACATGATGAGAACAGCTGAATACAGTTCAGCTACAGTACAGTACAGTCGTTGCGGCCCTTGCGGTTACATTGGAACCTTGGC